TCAAACAAGTGTTAATACACTAGATTTTCATGAAAAAGCCTTTCATCAGAACAGTCCAATGACTTCCATTATCTATGTTGGTATCTTTATTTTTTTCTTTTTTGGTAATATAATTGACCCTATAAATACACAAACTGTAAGTCTGATCTTACACACTTCGAAATCAACAGGAGTTTTCTTTCTACTTTCTGTGGAGCAGGACCAGATACAGGATGAACTGATCCACTGGGGAGCTGTTACATCACAAGACCTAATCAGAAAGTCAATCTTCATGATTGTACAGCTTTTAGACTTTACCACAGATGCGTAATTGCCCCATTCTTTTCACATCTTAAGAAACATCATCACTATTCTTTAAATGTGCAGTAGGAGTCAGAAATCTTTCTTTTGGAAAAAACTAGAAGAACAAAGTGAATTTTAAATTGGTGCAATTTGGCAGTTTTTGGAAAACAACATCACTTTTCTATCAGTCATTTGAAACTACAGCTACAATTTCCAGGGGAAAAGCTTTAGTGTTTATTTAAGAAACAACCATAAAACAGTTTCAAGAAAGCTAGTTAAAGACATATTTATCAGTCTGCTTTTTTTCAAAATATTTTCATCCATGTTGCCCCTAGCTGAAAAGAAGATATTTTTATTTTAGAAGATTGCCCTTTTTTTGGTTTTTTTTACATTCAAACTTAGATAAAATAAATGGTCAGATCCTGGAAATATTAAATGCTGTCCTTTAATCCTTCATACTGGAAAAATACTTACATTTGTGTCTCATGGGGTAGTTTGCTGAGGATAAATGGTTATTCTCAATATAACTTTTAATTTCATTTCTCCTTAGGGAAGGAAATATGTAGGAATCTTCTTTTCAAACTATTCATCACTGAATTCCAAATTAAACTATAGAAATTGACATGTGTGAATTTGGCCAGCAATTTGTAATTTAAAGGTTAACAGAGAGAGTGATTTCCTAGACTTGAAAAGAAATATTTTCACTTGCATTGTTGTTCAGCACTTTTGTTAGTGGTGAAGTTCATACAGTTAATCTGATAATGTCTGCAGCTTTGTGCTAACCATGAAAAAGGTGTCACAAATATGATACGTGCTATGAATCATATGAAGCTCCAGAAGTGCCATCAGCCTTAGCATAGTTTGTGTTTCGTTACCTCACCCAAATTTGACTTTGCAACAAACATTCTTGAATGGCATAGAATCCTGGTTTGGATCCCCTGAGAGACTGCATTACTTTTCAACCTAAATATATTATTTTATATAACACTTGGGGGGGGATAGCTGCCTGCCAATAATACCTAGGGTCCCACAGAACTGCATTGTAGGATTTTCCCTCTTTCTGTGGTCATTACCTTGTTCCTGGCAAGGAACTGACTCTAATGTCTCTGCCAATCTTGCTTCACATTAGCAGGCCAGTTCTGCTCCCAGTCACAGAGACTTTTCACAGAGACATCCTTACTGATGATGATGTGACTGCAAAGTTTGTCAGGCATTTACTGCTGTTCACTGCAGCCCACACCTCATTCAGAGCAGCTAATTGTTCAGCGCACTGCGCTTTAAAGCACAAGCTGGCATAATCACATGCCACTGATTTATGAACAGGATAGCTTCAACATTTTGCATTGCCTAGAATATACTTCCAGCAGGAGACTGGAAATATCAGCCCTGTATTATTCTAGGTCACTTGGGGAGTATATATTCATACACTGAATATGTAAATCTCTTCATTAACACTCCAGGCAATGTATTTAAGACATGTTTCTTAAAGTGTCACCAATACTTACTCAGCAGGACGTGGAAACTCCTGTTCATGCTTTGGGTTCTTCTCTCTTCACAATATGACATTTCAGGGGCAATTTTTTAAATGTTTTATAATTATCTGTGTACAAAAGAAAAAAGCACTTGTGTTGGTCACCTAATGTAAGAGAAGGGGAGGAAGAGTCAATGAAACAAATCTGGCAGCAGGGGGGTCTGTGAATTTTTGCTCAGGAAGAGGTCCTGCAGCCTCTACAGCAGAGGCATCCCCAATGAAGGATGTGGAGCAGGTGCTTTCCCTAAGGTTGCTAGTCAAGGATCTCTGGGAATTGCAAACAGTCCATGACTTGGAGGCAGAAAATGGAAAGGAAAATAGGGCAACGGAAATTAGAATTGCATGAATAATGGAGTTTTTCTTTGGTGACCCAACAGAAAAATTAAACCAAAATAATTCATTTTGGGTAGGCCCAAAGCATTTGTCCAACTCAAAATGAAACAGCTCATTTTGCTTTCAAATCTCTTTTCAGCCTTTGAAAGAAACACACATAAAACCAAAACACTATCTGTTTAGAAAATGTCAGAACGAAACATTCCAGCAAGAGTTTCATTTATTGAGCTGGAACTATTAACTGAATTAAAACCCAACTTGCCTGACTGAAATTAATTTTTTATTTTCTTTTAGTCAGCAATTGTTTGTCCCAGACATTTCCTCCTATTTAAGGGAAACCTACTCCAATTTCTACTTCTTTTATTTGTTCAAAACTGACCATCACCACCATCTTTTGCACATCCACAAGTCACACATACCCTGCAAGAAAACCTGAGAAGGAAATTCTACAAAGTTTGCTGTGTGGCATTCCAGGGCTCCAGCTCATGAGGTTTCTGTGGTAAAGTCTTCCAACTGGTGGATTTTAGGGTTGGAGAAATTAATAATTAGTTGACTTCATTTTTACACTTTTGTGGACAAATGGGTTTTAATCTAGGTTTAGCCTCAGTGTGGAAAACTTGAGAGATTGATTTGATATTTCTGGGTAGGGCAACTCAACAAGGACAATGCACAAGAGACCTAGAGGAAGTAGAAAAAGGAAATAAGTTATTTATCTATTTGTGAAGTGATTTTATCAACAAGGAGCAACATGTATGTGGCTCATGGTCTGGTCTCTATTTATCATTAAGGAACAAAACAGGATAAAGTAATATTATCCTGCCCAAAGTCACAATCTTTATAGATCTCTAATGTAGACCAGAGAAATGACACCTGTATAATTCCTCTTATCCTCCACCGACTATAAAGGGAGACAGATGTAGTTCAAGGAAAGACTGTGTATACCAAAGGTCAGTGAAGTGAACTATTCATTTGGTGTTTAAACTCCCCTCCTTTGCTGTCAGTTCTCACAAGTTTGAGTGATAAGAGAAAGGATACTGGCCAATAGCTCTTGACAATATCATTCCTTATCCCAGAAGAAAGGAAATATATATCCAACTGAATATATAGTAAAGGCTGGATCCCTGAAACTGTCATGCAGTACCAGATCCTGGCTGCCAGGCGTTAATGGGTCACTTCTGCCTTGACTGTGAACAGGCATGTTAGTCATACATCGTGATGTGTGAATGAAAGCTGAATGTAAACCATGATGAATGCATCAGGTAACAGGCCTCCACCACCCAAATGGATCATATGGAAGTCTAATATGTGATTTCCTATGAGTACATGTTGCGATTTCTGTTCACATACGGATGGATGCTTTTAAATCCATCTTAACTTTGCTCTGGTTCAGGAGGAACATTTTTAAAATGTAGGCAGGATGCTTGTTGCCCTGATGAATAAATGGCAAGGCTTTGCTCAAGAAGACTTCAGCAGTTGCTGGAACCTGCTATTACATATTTCTTCTGGCTTCCTGACTATTTTGATGATTTTTATCCCTTTAACCTTGGTCCAGTCACCAATTTCCCTGGAAACACCAGAGCAACTCTTCTGTCTTTGTCAGGAGACATTGCTGAAGGACATGATGTGATAATGACATATTAAACAGTGTTTCAGGGACTTGGGGATTTTTTTCTGTCTTGGAGTTTTTGTTCAGAATAGGCACCAAACATTCTCTTCTGAAGGGCTCTCAGATCCCTGATGCTGCAGAACACCATTTGTGCTCAGTGTGCTATGGATGGGCAGTGGGAATGCAGAGCTCTGAGTTTTCATTAGCAGCTGCTGCCTGCTTGTCTCCACGTCATCTGACCAATGGGGACAGTTTGGGACTTCTCAACAGCAGCTATTCAAGGGGGGATCCTGTCTCTGCATGTACCAAGGCTGAACCAGTGAACCAAACCAATGACTTTCTGGAGTGATGTTATTTTTCCCACCATCCCCTACAAGAAAGACTGACTGACATGCTCCCCACTAAGCCCTGGCCTGTGAGAAGCTGAAATTTCAGGCTTATGGTGAAGAAGTATAACCCCAGGCAGAGCTTGCATCCTTTCTAGGTACAAGAGTAGAGCCACTAGTCCAGCAGCTCCCCAGGCACAATGTGCATCATCTCCCTTGTGTTTGAATAAAAGACAAAAGCTCTGCAAATGGCAATATTAGAGGACCAAAATATTTATTATAATAAATTAAAGTGAAAGCATTTATAAAACGTTCCATCTGCATATAAATATTACACAGCAGTGTTAATTTCTGGTAAAGCTTCATAAATACATTTCCTTGGATATTTTTCAATTAATCTATATAAATAAAAATATTGTATAATTATTACCTTAAAATAAGTTACCATTAAATACAAATTACAAAAATTATTTCTGAAATAGTCTGAAATACCTTTTCAGGCAAAGGTCAGAAGGGGGCAACATATGCAATAGAGATTTCCAGCTAGGAGGCTCAAAATAATCCTGGCTAAAACATCACATCAAAACATCACTGCCTTGATCAAAGCTGATTCATAGGTGTCAGCTTTCAGTATATAAAAGACAGAAATGGTTGCCTCATTCCTGTGAAGATGAGGAGAGCAGAACAGTGCTTTTGTAAATAACAAGTGCCCTGTGTTGCATTCAAGAGGCAGTCTCCCGGAGTTTTCATTTTCAAAGAAGGCAGCAATATGCATCCTGTCTCTGCCCACTTAGTTTGCCAGTTTTGACATGAGTGAAAAATATACTGTATCTGGGGGGAATGGGCATAGTTGCAGCTAGTCAATTTGAGTTATTGCAAGAGATTTGCAGAGACATCTCTTCAAGCCTGATCCAGAATTTTTTCAGTTTTTCTTCTTGTTACCTCCCTTCTTTGGGGCATCAGTACAGGCATTTTCCAGGTAGTCAAACAGTAAATCCAGCTCTCCAATGGCTTTAGTCTTTCCATTCTCTCCCAACTAGAAAAGAGCAGAATGCAAATCTTAGCAACTAGTTATTTTTCAGAAAACTGAAATTAGGGTTGTCACAGAAACGGAATCAATCATTTACATTTCTAATTCTCTTACACAGTTCTGTTAGTGTCATTATATCATAAAATATAAACTAGTTCATTCAAATCTAGACTAGCATATCAATCCTGCAACCAACTTTTGAAGGTTTAAATTATCATAACGTGCAGAGAGCTACCAGGACAAGTGAGGGAGGGCTGGAAGGGGAAATCTCATTATTCCCCTACTTAATGCCTTCATAGGCTTCATGTCCTAAATAATCTCATTTTTTTTTCATAATTAGGTCGGCCTTAATCCAACTAAATGACTGGGGTTTGAAACTGATCTTTCTAAATGCTTGGGGGAAATGTACCTGTTCCATTTTGTTCTTCATTTGTTCCAGGTTCTTTTCAATGTGTTCTCTTTTTCCTGAGAATTGCTAAAAGAAAGGAAACATCCAGACATAAGATGGACAGCTATATGCAACAACATATTTTTTTTTCTTTTTCACACCTTTCTATTAACTCTGACTTTCATATCTTTGATCTGAGGTTTCCTTTCATACCACTGCCTTTTGCCACTGCCTGTAGCATTCTGAGATTTAGGAGCAGCAATGAGATTCGGAGGGATAGAAACCCGGTGTTACTCACACAAGTGCTCAGCTCTGAGGTCAGGGATGCCAAGAACTGTGCCACCTCCTCAACATAAGGGTACTGGTTCTTGACTTCAGTGAGGAGAACATCTTTTACTACAAACTCCACAGCCCTCTTCATCAGGTAGCAGCGGTTGTTTTCCTATGTATGAAATTAAGAAGTCATGTCAAATCAAGGCAAGAGATCCCTAAGTGCTGCAGAGGGATGCAAAGAGCAGACTCCTCATGTAAGGCTTACCCTGATGTTAACAAAGAGCTGCTGCCCAATCAGTCTGTTGTCCGTGTCCTTGTCTGAGGCACTGGCCTGAGAGGAGAAAAGGAAGTGTTAGTGATGGGAACCTTACTTAAAAATTAATAATAAACCCAAAAGTTTTTATCAGCAATGAAAGTGCAGGCGCAGTGATGGAATGGACACCACAGCCTGTAACAGGTAGGTAAGTTTGGACATGGTGTGTTTCTCCCCAGAGATGGGTGAGGTTCAAGGTCAGTATTGCAGGAAAATAAATCAGCTGAATTCCTGTCCTCCACTAAAGTCAGAAGTCGTCGTGGTTACGGTGACTAAAACAGATGCTGCAGGTGGCTGACCTCACAGCAGCCCGCAGTGCTGCTGGGAGGTGCTTGATGGTGTGCACCCAGGGACATCCACCCAAGGCAAGAGCAGCCCAGAAACCTGCCCTAGCAGAGCACTGTAAGATACCTGAGCATCTGCCTGGCTGTGACTGGAGTCATGGACAGGCCCAGCTCCAAACCGACTGAGCAAGCTGAGAAATTTAATGTCATATTTCACAATTTACCCACTTTGGCAGCAGCTGCCTGGGAAGAAGAAGCTGTGCTGCTCCAGGGGTGGTTTTTGCCTTGGGGAGCAGCAGGAGGAGAGGCAGCAGCTTCCCCTGGCTACAGAGCCAGCAGGAAATAGACCTGCTCCACACATCCAAACTCTGCCTTAACTGCAAATGCTTTTGGGGTTTTTTTTATGGAAAAAGGCAGAGGAAAGAGGGAGGAATGCCGAAGGTTAGAAGTCACGGCACCAGCAGAGGAGTAGATCCTCAGATCCCACCATGAAGAACACACGGATGACTGTACCATTTTAGCCAAGGTGTAGGTGCGATTCCTGATGTAGGGCTGCTGGAAGTTGACCTTCCTGAGCCTGCAGGCATCATGGGTGGTGGAAGCCCCTTTCAGGGGCAGACAGCTGGTGAGAAGAAGGGGGAGACAGCAACAGCAGCAGAAGAAAACCCATCCTGGGGAGCTCTTGGACGAGGTCTGCAGGGAGGCCATGGCTCACAGTCTGGAATGGTCCGTCCCAGGAGGCTGCAGATAGAGGGCTCAGCTCTGATGGGAGAGAAGGCAGCATTAGCACCAAGGAGAGCAGGTGAAGCAAAGTGAGAGCAGCACAAAGGCTGCAAGCCTTACCTTCGCTGTGACTCCTGACATGCTCTGCAGGAGGTGAGCTGCACCTTATATAGGGCCACCAACATCTCTCTCAGCTTTTTTTTGGGTGGTGAAATAAAAATGACATCAGCGAGTATCCTCTTTCCAGTATCCTCTTCTGAGAACTACCTAACCACTTCAAAACCCACAAATACAACTTCAAGGCCATCATAATCTTTAGTTTCCAAAAAAAAAAACCAAATATTAATGTGGGGCAAAGCAGGGGCTTTTACCAAGGTAGGAATCCTGAATTCTTTTTGCATAAAAATATTTGAGAATCTTATGAGTTTGTGTCTCCTGTCCCAATTACAATGAGCTTACTTGATTGACAATTTGATGGCAGAAAACCACCAAATCTTCTGTGGTACAAGACTGGTTTCACTGCTGCTGACTGGTGCACGCAAGTGATCAGAGACTGTATCAGAGCCAAAGCACTGACCACCTGTGACTCCTACCCTGAAAATACCTTTTCTCACACAGTGGCCCACCAGAGTCACTGGCCATCTGCACATCACTGTGCAATCCTCTCTGAGAGATCAGAAACCGTGTAGGACCAACTCTGCATTTGTCACATGCCTGATTTCTAAATTCCCTTTTTCAAAAATATTACCTGTATTTAAGGCTGTAATCAGGTATAATGACCAGAGCTGTGGTCATGCACTTATCCAGGTGATTTTCATGTTCCTAAGTCTCTTCTGCCAACATGAAGGCTGTGCTGCATCTTCAGTCTGAAACATGCTGTTCCCAATGGGAAACTGCACTCTTTAGATGGTAATTTGCAACCCACCTGCAGACAGTAATGCATGAGGACACAGAACTGGTATAAATATAAACTCCTGGTTTTCTAACACCCACAATGTACACAGGTGACAAAGAGGAGAAAACAGATCTGGAAAACCAAGGCTTCAGCTCTGCCTCTGAGAGTGGATATCTGAGAGCTCTGAGGGTGGGTGTGTGTCTGGCTGGGCTCCATTCTTTGTGGCTCGGGTTCTCCGGACAAGAGCCATTGTCAACCTAATCTCGTGGTCTGAAATGTCCAGATCTTTTCCTTACACCTGAAAGGAAGCAGTTAAAAGCTGAGGGGAATGAGTTTTTTTCTTTAGCCTCCTCTGATGCATCTGCAGCATGAATTTATCCCTCCATGTCTCAGACCTGCCTCTCAGTCCTAAGCTGCCCTCAGACACCTGCTACATCAGCTCTGCACAGATCTGTGCCCTTGAAGCTGCAGCCTGGAGCCATCATCATCGTCTCCTTTTCCATGCCCCTCTCAGGTACCCATTCCCATGACCAGCCTCCAACAGCATCTTGACTGCAGCAGGCAGCAGAAAGTGAGTCTGGACCCAGGATGCCAACAGTCTAGTTCACACCCAAATGTACCACAAGCCTATTCAAGAATATGTCTCTAAACTCTTTTTCACATATATTTCAATAGTTCCAGTGGGGGCACAGGCTAATGAAAAGATGAAAGGCTGAGTTTTACTTAACCAAAAGACAGACATTGAAGACCAAACTGGGATATTCCCGACAGATAGACTGCACTGAAGTATTGACCTTCCCTGAAATGCATTTCCACTAGCTCCTCCCCAGGAGTTAGTCTGATAACCAAAAGTCTGCATCTAACTGAGGTTTCTCCAGCAGCTCATCCATCAGAATTGAAGTCCTATACCCAGAACACAAATACAAAGGAGCTGTGGACAGGCATTCAGATCCCTTTGTCCTTGAAGGTCCTCTTGTCCTTCTGGCAGATGTTAGCTCTCTACCCCTTTGGTCACCCACGCATCAGACACAGAGCCAGCTTGCCTGACCTCTTGTTGGGGCTCCAATCCCATGGAAAGGGTGCATGACCTAAGTAGGTGCTGTACCACGCCCATCAGTTCAAAGCACGGTGAGGAGCACACTTTGTCCCTTGTCCTGATGGATATTAAAACAAAATCAGGCAGATTAATGAGGAATTAAATGTTGAATCTTTCTTCTGCCCCTTCCTATGCAGTAATTACAGGAGCTCTTCTGTCTTCCCACTCTTTTATTTGAAACCCTACACTGGGACATGCCTATTTTCGTAGAAAACTTTGAGTTAGCCTCCATCTGTATTGATAGCTATCTCAGCCATGCTACCTTTTGGTTGTGCCATCATGTCCACCTTCTGAGGCTGTTCCAGTTGGTTAGTTTACCTTGATATTTTCCAGACACTGTGATGCTGAAATGCATATTTCAAGTTCATTAATTCATGTTTTGCAAATTCTGTTTTTATGATATTCCTAAAGCTTTTGCATTATTTACCCTTTTGTTAGTTGCTGTGAGTTACAACTATCTTCCATCCCTCTAGGCTACTCTGAGTATGGCCCAGCCCAAAAGCAAATAGCCAAGATGTTACTGGGCACTAACATGAGCAGACTTTATTGTTCCCATGTTCATCAGATCATTCCTGGCCTTTTCCCAGGACTGTTGGTCCTGGATGTACCACAGAGCTATGGTGCAGCCAGTCAGGGCTGCAGTGATCCCTTGTAATGCGTCAATAGACTTTCTTTGGAAGTGGAGATATGCCTCCCATTCCCAGGGTCTTGTATTTCTGTTGTGAGACAGCACTTAACAGAGACTAGTCGCAGTTACCATCTCTTTTCACTGGCTCACCACACCCCAGATGGGAGATACACATCCAGCAATGCATCCCACAGAAAACGGGGCTAAAAACCTGCTCTGGTGCTGGATCTCACTCCAGTGCCCAGCTGAAGTCCAGAGGGAGACTTCAGCTCTGCGTTTTCTGCTGCTTTTGAGGAGGAAATACAACAGACTTTTGAAAAACAAGGTCTTAACCCAGCACTGATGGTGAACCTCAGGGAAATTGCTTGGTTAGGTTCCCCTTCCCAAATGGGCTACCCTGAACTGCACAGCAGGAGAGATCAGTGAAAGGAAAGCTGCCTTTCATTTCAGATGTGGTACTCTGGATGAAACCATCACTGGAGGATCTTGCTTTGTGGAGGAAGAATAAACTGGACAAAATGCATCTGAAGAATGAGGGGGAAGTAATTTCCCCTTTCTTATTTCATGATTTTTTAACAGGTTTAATGATATTTTTAATGTTTAAGGCTAGGAGCACTGTTTAAAATACAAAATTCTTACAAGAAAATATATCTCCTCTGCTTTCATTTTAATTAAAAACTACCAAAGACCATTAATCTTCTATAAAGTACTCTCTGTGTTTTTTTCAAGTATAATTAATTAAGGAAATTATTTTGAAATTGTTCACAGGTCACTTTTTCTCCCTGGTACTGCCCCAAGAGTTAAGTGTCTATCCTATCACTTAACTCACCTATAAACTTTTGAAATCTAATTACATGGAACTTCCCTAATTCATTAAGAAACCATAGCGGTAAATATTCTCGATAATGACTTCTTGACCCATTTTGAAGACAGGATTTCTTGAGGAGGACTGGAACTCTGCATGACATCTGCTTCTGAAGCCACAGACACTTCCTTCTGACTTCGAATGAGGTCACAGGTGAGCAACCATTACTGTACTTTGATGTTCAGCTGCTGTGTATCAGCAGCAACATACCAGCATGCAGGAATTTTCATGGGCTTTAGTACTTTTTCAATCAGCCAGGATTATACTGCATTATTGGAAATGTCAGGACTGGGCACTGGGCTAGAAATAATGTCAAGAGTTGGCATGTGAAAAAGTGAGCCTGTGTACTGTGCTCCCAGATCTTTTATTTGGCAATGAGATTCTCCCCCCTTAAACACTTGTATGAATGGGCCATAGGTCACGTAACACCTAAAACTGAGCATTCAATCTCAGGTCACACTCATCCCCTCATCCTGCTCTAGCTCGTTTGTGAAGCAGTCAGCTGTCAGGTCCATTTTATCTCAGCTCTTCTCTACTTTTGTTCAGACTTTCTAACTTCCAAAGATTAAAGCAAACTATAAAATTGTTTCAGTTCAAGCTCCAGTAAAGTTTTATTTTAGTCAGCTCTCTGCCCAGCAATGAAAATCTCAGTAATGGAAATTGATCCTTCTCTACAAAACTTGAAAATAAGTTTTTCTGTAATCCAACCATTCCTTATGGAAACATCCTAGCACACAGGCAAGTATCTTCTGGGAACTATCATTAGGAATGGCAGAAGGGATTAAATCTCTAGGAAATGCTACCAATACAGAGACTGGGAGAGGACATGCTGCGCTTGACCATTACATTTTTGCTTGGTTTTTTTCTCTTTTTTTTTTTTTTTTTTTTTTTTTTTTTTTTTCAGGATAGGTTTAATGTTGTGTAAGAAATTGTGAGTCCTTTGGAAGAAGAATGAATAGCATTAATAAAATTGCTTAGCCTGGGAATATTGGGTGATTGAAAAAGTCTTTGGAGACAGTTCTCAGTACAGTCATTGCTGACTCAGGGTTTTCACAGAGGATGTACAATTTTCTACCTTCCCTGGCTGTAACATTTTTGTAATGCAGAGTATCACATTTCCTCTGACAGTAACACTTCGGCTTTTATATCTGATATTTCATCAAAGATCTTTGTCTCTGACCTTTACTTGGTTTTGTTACATAATTTTTGGGTCTCCTAACTATAAGATGCTGTATCATAATGCTGGTATTTCCTATCATAGAACATCCAAAAGGAAGGAAACTAATTGCCTCAACTTTAACTTACATTCTGGGGAAAAAAAAAAAAAAAAAAAAAGAAAAAAAACCAGAGCCACACTAAAAACAAACAAACAAACAAACAAAAACTTGGTTTAGATATTTTTTTTCCAGAAACATTCATATAGTAGAGAAACAAGAGAAAGCAACCCAGAGATACGTTGAGCCAACACTGTATTGCTGCTACCAATGTTCTTAATGTGTTA